ACGCTAGACCAACTAAATCTAGATCTCTGGGCTCTGGCTTGAGTGTTTCCCAAAGCGTGCCAGGTGCTTGTGACCCACACTGAAGGAGGGGACCCACTGCCAACTGAAGGCTTTTGGATCCTTGGGAAGCCCCTGCCCCTGGAACAAGCCTTTCTCAATAGCGAGTGCCATAGCCATGCAGTGAGAGAGCTGAGCTATGTGCACTAGGAAGGTCCAGAGAGCTCCCAGATAATCTTTACTGCTTCATGATTTTGCCACGGCTGATGCTGGACATGCAAATATTCATCTCTCTGGCCTTGTCTCCCAGTTGAAGAAGGACAGTTTTTGAGTTGTGTTCAGATAACCTTTACTGTTTCTTTAAACAGCTTTATTCAGATGTAATTCACAGACCATACATTCACCCATTAAAACGTACAATTTGGTATTTTTTCCTATATTCACAGGCTGATGCAAGCATCACCTCAATTTAATTTTAGAATGTTTTTGTCACCCCCTAAAAGAAACTCTGTACCTTTTAAAAAAAATCTAAGTGAATAATATTAATTTTTAATGCTATTCAATTTCAGCATAGAGGGTTATGTTGTAGTTTTTGTTTATTTGTTTTTGCAGGGAAAGATTCGCCCTGAGCTAACATCTCTTACCAATCTTCCTTTTCTTTTTTTTCCACCCCAAAGCCCTAGTACATAGTTATATATCCTACTTGTAGGTCCTTGTAGTTCTTCTATGGGAGCCGCGGCCATAACATGGCTACTCACAGACGGGTGGGGTGTGGTTTCGCCACCGGGAAGCAAACTTGGGCTGCTGAAGCAGAGAACGCTGAACTTTAACCACCAGGCCATAAAGGCTGGCTCCCTTTTTACAAAAAAAAATAGTAAGGCAAAGGCATTGCAGAAGCATATTAGCATTTGGTACTCTTTCACAGCTGGGCTTGGAGTCGTTTGATTTTATCTTATACTGTGTGGTGTATCCCTTGCCTGTGCATGTTTCAGGGTGTATCTGGGTAACAGTGGCGGTGGGGGATGGGGAGTGGCCCAAATGCTTGAAAGCCAAAGCCCCCGCCCTAGCACAAATCCTTAGCTGGGGGAGACTGCTGGCTCCCAGCCTTACCGCTCATAGCTCTTGTTGATTTCCTGGCAGGTTTATGGGTTTACTGTGGCAAAAGATTTTAAGCATATAAATGCTATTTCCTAGAATGAAGACCAAGGACAGCTGTACTTGCCAAATATGTCGTGATGCCAAGGGGTTGAAACTGTGGAAAAGTATTCCTTTTTGAGGCAAAACGGGAAAGCCCTTTATCTGATTTTTTTTTCCTTGCCTCTGAACTCCTGCTGCACACATGGCCTCTGTCCTTCATCTTAGCTCTGTGTTATTTCCCAGCTCTGTGGCTTTATCCTCCCAGTGAAATTTTTACAGCTTTAGGGCTGGCATCCTGTTCTTCCTGTCTTTGGCCTCCTCTCCAGCTGGTAACACGGGATTAAATTTATAAGTATTGTATGTCTGATTAATTTTATAAAACAAACTAGTTTTAGAATAGGGAAGTTTCGTTTTGGTTTTGTTGGTTGTTTTCATTTTAGAGCGTTGGACTGAGACATTCCTGATGTGACTCATGAGATCTCAGCTATTAACTAGTTCCAGAGTAGCCCAATTCCTGACCATAGACGTTCATCTTGACATGTGGTATGACTGAGGAGGCTCTCACCTCTCAGGGCCTCCATTTCTTTACCCATAAAACAAGCTGACAGTGTGTACTCCCCGAGTTGCTATGGGAAGTCAAGGAGACCACATGGGGGAAATGCCCAGCGCTGGGCTTAGCACCGAGTAGATGCGTAGGACGAGTTACTTTCTTTTCCCTCATATAGAAAAGTCCTCCATGGGTTTATCAGGTTTGTGGTTCAATTCTCTTCCCTGAGCTCATTCCTTCCCTTCTCCATGCTTCTCTCACCTCTCCCCAACCCACCAGCTACACATAGTCGTAGACAAAGTTCTCTCTCTTTACTCCTGGAAAGACTTGCTGCAGGTTGCTAAGCTAGATCAAAATTTGACATAGGTCATTCCCAAATATTTCATTCCACCATCTCAATTATGTGAAAAGTGCTCAATTATTCCATGAATTGAAAAATCTGGCTCTTTGAATCTCTTTCAGTGAAAATATATAACTGACTTTACATCACTAATAGACTGCTGAATATCGAATAAGCCACAAGAAATGTTAGGGCAGTGGTTCATTTATAAAGCTGCTATTTACTGGAAATAGAATGGCATTAGGTAGTTCTTGTTAATTCTCTTGGAGTGACAATGATATTGGAGTTACATGGGAAGAAGTCCTCTATTTAGGGGGATGCTTAGTGAAATGTTTAGGGGTAATGTTTCAGGATATCTACAATTTACTTTCAAATGCAGGTACATATACAAGTATAGATGGCTAGATCTATCTCTCTGTCTGTAATGTATGCAAATATGTCAAAACATAACAATGATGTTAATAGTTGTTGAATCTAAGTGGCGGAAATATTGGCATTCATTGTATTATTTTTTCAACTTTTCTGTATGTTAGAAAAATTTTCTACTAAAGAGCCAGGTTAAAAAAAAAAACACATAAAGAAACTGGAAAAATATAATCCGTAAAGTTCCTAAAATATATCGCTATTTGATTATAAGTGACTTTTATTTATGTCATTATACTTTTGTGTATTGTAAGAAAGCTTTCTATTGAGAGAAAATAGTTCTTTTGAAATCGCAAAATACCAATTCTTATAATACATAATTTTTAGAAGTTGTCATTATAACTGAACATTATAAAATGCATTCATTATATTTATCCCTCCCAAACCATTATTTGGAACCTACATAATTTTGAGTTATTTTGAGTGTTTAAATGGAAGCATGTAACTGATGGTGTTGGTTACTCTGCAGGACTGCAATTTCTAAACAACACCAGGAAAAAACTTTTTAAAAATTTTTAAAGGAAAAAGATCTATATACCTATATTTTAGGGAGAAAAGGCCATCTTTGCATTTACTGTAGGATAATAAATCAAAATATATATTTGCTGCATGAGCGGGAAGCAGAGTAGGACCTTGTGGAGAGCATGGAACCTTGTACCAGACAAGAGTGAATTGCCTCTGTAAGTTTGCTCATTTGTAAAATGGAATAATAATACCTCCTGACAAGTAAATAATGCACTCGAAACAGTACACTCAGTAATACGGTGGATATTGTTGTTATTATTACCAGTGTTGAATCTGAAAAAGATAGGGAATTGGAGATAATAAATGAATGTGATATGGTTCTAAAGTTTCCAGTTCTGGAAGGAGACAGATTGATGAATCTCTGTCTTGTAGATCTCTCCCTCTCAAATTCTGTCTCAAAGTGGTGAATGAATCTTCTTCCTCCTAGTCTGTCCTTTAGCAATCTTCTGAAATTAATCACTTACAATCTAGTCCTGCTATATATGTGGGCTTTTAAATGGTTCCTTTTTTTCTCAAGATCATTAATTACTCAATACTGAATGCCCTCAACTTTGGCCAAAGTCTTGGCTAGGACATCTAGGTAAAACAAGCCCTATAGAGGGCTTCACTCACCAAGCCCCTGCAGCCTGGCTGCTTCCCTGTGGATTCCATTCTTAATCCATAGAGTGTTTCATTTTGGCAAGAATTTTCCATTCATGAAAGTGATTTATTCCTAGTTTTTGATACAAAGAACTATGAAGGAAATGTTTCATCCATGTGTCTGGTATTCCTTCGACTTTTTTTTTTTTTACAAAAATATCTGTTGATATGATTAAAGGGAATATTATCTTATTCTATTTAGCATGGTATAGTGACAAACAATAGATTTTAACTGAGAAAAGCTGCTTTGCAAACATTTCCCATTTGCTAGGTGTTTGTCCTTGTGAAAAGGACAGCAAATAACTCTTTTTCTTAGTTTTTTCATCCATAAAATCACATAAGCCTTTTTTGTGTGTCAAATAAGAAGATATATGAAAGTGCCTTGTAAGTAATAAAGAATGATTGGAATTATTACTATTACTCTTACTTTTATTGCCACTCTTCTTACTTCAAAGAATTTCATTAACCTACCTGTCCAGGTTGTGATTCTGCTTTAGAGAGATGTAGTGGGATTTTATATTTTGGCTTAACTGAAGGTGATCAGGATTGAACCCAATATTGAGCTTTTATTTTCTTATTTTTGGGCTCCCTTTGCCCACTTTCTTGTACATCCCACAATGTGAAAGAAATGAAATAATTCTTTTTACCCCCCTTTCAGGAACATAGAATGTTTTTTTCATTTCTCAAAAAAAATTCAGTAAACTTTATAGTTTATCTTACAGTCAAAACAAATGAACACATAAGTTCCTTGAAGCTTTTATGTACCACATAACAATCCTTGCTTTCATTCACACTGTCCTAGTGAGAAAAATAGTTCTGTTTCTGGACTTAATGAAATCTTAAACCCATAATAGATAGAGGTTGCAGGTATGGTCTTTCCACCACAGGGGTTATCTTTCTGCATTGGTGAGTACTCAAGTTGAAGAACTCTAGGGAATTCCCAAGTGCCATCAGAAGTGATGGTTGACTTGGAAGCTGTGGTCCTCCCTGAGTCCATGCTGAACTGAGGCTTAAGTTTGGCTTTAGGCTCAACTTGGTCCTTAGACATCTCATCTCCATGAGGAACCAGATGTCTCCCACACTGGCAATTTGGGCTTTAAAATTCCATGAGGCATTTTGTAAGAGACAAGATGCCGCCTTGGAATCACCATCAGATCTGTGTCTGGTTAATTACAGACTGACTTTCTACATCCCAAATGAATGTCTGTTGCTTCCCTGGAATTTTGAAAGCCACCCACGTTGGTGTAAAATTATCAACATTCTCAGGAGGAAGATTAAAGGGGTCTTGTTTTTATAGTCTATATATTTAGCCCTCCAGGATTAAAGTCACTATTCTGTTATCTTGTATCACCTCCCTCTATTAAACATTATTATTTTTTTGTTTTTTTATAGCATGTCAATGAAAAAACCAGTGGATCACCTTCCAAGTCAGGAGAAAAGAAAGGATCAGATGAGGTAATTTCCACAGTTCTGGGTTTTCATTTTCTCTTGCTTTTAAATTCTGAGTTCTGTCTTGAAACAAATAATGAGGCAGCAAAGATCTCCTACTGGAATATGGGCAAATTTAGTTTTAACTAATATTTGATTCAAGAATGTAAATAGGAATTGTTAAAAATAAATAAAAAATATAGTCTTCCTGGGAAAGGAACCTTTAAACATAGTTTCCTCTTAGAAACAGGATTCAGTTATTTAGGACGTTTTCCCTGTAGGAATTGGTGAATCTTAAATGTTTTATTGGTGAACCTGGCAGATTTAGAAGGGGAAACCAAACGATGGAGTGGAAAAGGAAGTCTTTTTTCTTGAGAGTGCTTCATGAAAGGAGGACCGTGATGGCCTAGATTGACAATTTATTCAGGTGCATAAACAAAAGGAAGAGAGAACTATTTTTATTTGGATCAATTCTGTGGAGATACTAGTAAAACCAAATCTCTTTACTTTGAGATGGGTTTTCTTTGAGCCTGTGAATTTCTCCTTTCACTGAATGATGCCCCATTATGTGCACTGTCAACACTGGCCTTCTTCTCCATGGAAGGGTCATGTGAAAGCGCTGTCCTTCAAAAGGGTACTGTACTTACCTCTCTTTTACTGCTTTTTACATTTTAAGTCTCAATAGATGTGCTCATCTTCATTCAATAGAAATTGTCATTGTCATTTCCAACTTATAAAATAGCCAGGTCTTAAAAGGTATGTGGAAATTTAGAAAACATAAAGTGGTCATTTTATTTTTCTCTATATTATCAACATGTTTTCAAAAATTTAGCTCCTCTTTCTGCTTATTTTCTGCAGTTTCGAAATATTCAATATATTTTGGTATATTCAATATATTTCGGTATATTCAGTATGTAGGGAGGCCGTTATGGTTAGCACCTGCTGTGGATTCTGCACTAAGGTTTACTCCTTGGCTTTCCAATATTGTTTCCATTACTAATACTTATGAAAATATAATTTAGGTTATTTATTGCCAAGCAAATTTGTAGTGATCTTTTTGTATCCATGGAAGGCAAATCTTTCTTTAAAAAGTAAAAGTAAATTTTATTAAGATTTTATCCTGTTTCTTGGTTAAATAATTAAAAGATAAAATTCCATATGAAAAACCACATTTTTTCCCTTTTACCAACATGAAAATTTATGTAGTGTCATTCAATTCCCTTGTCAACTCTACCCTGTAAATATATTCCCAGGAAAGTTATCTATCAAATAATTTCCTGTTTGAAAACAATAGACCAGGAAATAATATTTTTTGATGTTATTCTCTATTAACATTAATCAAGATTAAACTATTTGCACAAAAAAGGAAATCTTGGTCAAGTGGATGGTAGGCTAGGTCTTACAGGATCATTCTCACCAATTATGTTATTATGTGGAAGCTTAAATATTACATCTTGAATGTACAGGCATCGTTGGTTTAGCCAATAATTGCTAGCACAGTGTTAGGTCTTTCTATAATATCTGGACTATAAAGTACCTTATTTCCGTATTTATAAAGCGCTTGGGAAAGCTGATCAAGAGCCCTGTTACAGATGCAGCGGGGGCAGAATTCGAGATCCGTGTGTCAATAGAGGCAGATTGTACTTTCAGCTTGAAGCAGAAAGGCCCAACTTCCACCAAGGACAAAGGAGTTTTTCTTCTCTTGATCTTCAATGGAAGAAATTCTGACAGTTTCATCCCACTTCTGAGAAATTCAGATTTATGACTCCTGGACTTGTCCCAGAGGCTGGGCATATATCGGTCTGTTCTGCTCTGTTCCAGCCAGCAGAAGCAAAGAGGGGAAAGAGCTTTAACCTGCTCCCATGGCGTAAATCACTGTAGAGATTCATTTAGGCTGAGATTGAAGATTGTTTATTATCACACCAAATTCTGCCCGTACCTATTTGATGGGGTGGCCAGGCCTGCAGACGGGATGACTTGGTAGTCAAGGTATATTTCCAGTGTGATCTGTCTCCAAAGAGTCTCCAATTCTTTGTTATGTGCAAATAAGTCATTGATGAGATATTGTGGCCCTGGAGACAATTCAAGGAAACCATCCTGCAGTCGGTCTTATTTTAGCCTTTGTGTTCACGATTGTAAAACCATGTGCCATGTGGATTTGTTATCTGCCCTGCCCACCATCCGTGGTCAGTTACCATCCTCTTTTCTTCTGCAGATTATCAGAGAAAGATTTCCTGAAACTGATTCTTTCTCCCAGATATTTTCTTACCTACCGCTCTGTCAAACAAGAAGTGAGATTAAGAAGCTTAGTTTGGGTTTTGGTAATCCATTTTCAAACTAGCATGTACCTCCAAAGGTTAAATGATGTGTTGTCCCCAGGCACATGCAAACATACTTGTTCAGCCTCCAAGGACAAACCCAGGCCCTTGAAACAAAGTCAGTCTGAAAATTCACTATTTTTTTTTAATTTTATTTTTCCTTTTTCTCCCAAAGCCCCCCAGTACAAAGTTGTGTATTTTTAGTTGTGGGTTCTTCTAGTTGTGGCATGGGGGATGCTGCCTCAGCATGGCTTGATGAGCGGTGCCATGTCCACGCCCAGGACTCGAACTGACAACCCCTGGGCTGCCGAAGCAGAGCGAACAAACTTAACCGCTTGGCCACAGGGCCAGCCCCTGAAAATTGACTTTTTATGCTCAGGGATTTTTTCCTTTTCCCTTAATTACTCTGCTGCATTTCATTTGGAGGTGCAAGAAAAAGGGTACAGAGAAGGACTTCAGGAAGACAGAACCAGAAGAAAAAATGATTAGGGTTAAGGAAGAAGCACTATTATATTGATATGTGTGAAAATATCTGGGGATGAATGCACTGTGTAAATTTCAGAGCTCTTTCTCTCCGGCTCTCATAAATAGTTCTTACTCCTTTGGAATATGACCCATAAACAGCCACTAAGTGATCCTAAGAAGTCTGGAGCAGTTTTAACAGAATTTTGCAACTAAAATATCATTTGTCATGTTGCATTTGCGATACAAACACTTGAGGATGAAGTAGAGTAAGTGTCTACGAGAATGTATTTGTTTGCTTGTATATATCAATCATTATGGATTTGTTAAGTCCTTCTCCGATGTAAAGGAATTATAAAACCAAAAGTTGCATGGACTAACAAGCCAAAGATAAATGTCTCAAGAGAAGGAAAAAGAAAAAAAAAATTTAACTTTAGCACCTTTAAATACAGTGGAACAAAGAAGCCTTTCCAAACCTTCAATCCAATCTATTTAAAGTATTTGACTGACGCATCTGGCCACGCTGGGGGAGTGTGAGCATTTTAGCAACATGCTTCGGTGAAGTCCTGAGGAACGGAATTTAAGCATAAGATGTGCCGGCATGATGTCACAATGCCAATTTTAAGAACTTTAAGAATAGGTATATTTTCACGGGTAAAGAAAGGACGATATAAATAGAAGAGAAAGAAATTGTGCCTTAAAGGAAAAGATATTTATTTTCTTTACCATAATAACATTGGGGGCATTTTTTTCCTCAGTATCTACCTTTCCTCCTTCTAAAATGCATGAATTAAGTATTGAATGGCTCCAACATTTTTTAATTTCTTTCTTACATTTTTTCTCTTAATGAAATGTCTTTTTTTAATCACAAAAGTAATATGTACTTGTGGAAAGCCAGCAGAATTACCCAGTCTCACCACTTAGTTATAACTATTGATACAAAAGTCTTATGTGTATTCTCAAATTAACGTGATAATATTATGTCCTTATTATTATTATATATACTTATTTTAGTAACTTTTTAATGATCATACAGATAAAATATAATCACTGGCGAAAATTTAGAAAGTACCAAAGACTTTAAAGAAAAAATACCATCATATAGAAGTCTAGCACCTAGAGAGATGGCTGCTATTTCCATCTGCGTATATTTCTCTATGTCTTTTTTCTGTGTATATATATTATGTTTAGTAAAATACTGCATATCCTGATTTTTAAGCAGAGACAGCAAAGGAACATCATTAACAGGATGTAGGCTGAATATGATAAATAATGTCCTTCGTGATAGATAACTCTTTTCTAATTAAAAAGGTAATCATAATGTGTGTGGCTTTTAAATACAGTAGAAAATCATTATTCAAATACCTTGGCATTTAATATGGCATTTAATATGGTCGTTATTTTGTGCTGTGTTTTTGAGGGAGGAAAACATATTTCTTCTTCAAGAAGTCTTTTGGGACAGTTTTCCTACAAGCAAGAGATTAACCATCGTTAGCAAATTTTGGAAGACCACTGTAGCAAACATTGTTTTAAGGGATTATGGATCGTGACAAGAGAGTCCATATGAATTGTGAGTTGATTGTGGCTTCACAAGCGCATCTCCCAGCGCCAAGAAAGAGGCAAAGCAGAAGAGGTGCACCACGGGCAGTCCCACCTGGCTTACCCGGAGAGCCAGACTCGAGCAGCCAACCTGGAAGCCAACTGAGTGTCTGCCTTGCGAGGTTAAACCGACTAAGGCAAGGTCCAAAATTCTTTAGACTGCAGTTTCTCCATTTTTTAGCTCTAAATGTTGACTTATTTCTTCATTGACTAGAATATTTTTTAAGATAATTTTTCAGAGAGGGAGCATGGATGGTGATTTTCTGAGTCTCTGTGGATCTAAGTATGTTTTCCTATTGGCTTTACATAAGACGTTTGGAAAAAATTGTATAACATTCTTGGAAAACAGTTCTGTTCCCTTAAAATTCTGTACCTGTTGCTCCATGATTATCTGGCTCTTGTGCTATAGTGAAGATGTCTGGGGAAGCCTAATTTGGATTTATGTTTTAAGCTAGTTTTTTTTTGCCTTGCTGCATAGAAGATATTTTGTTCTTTTGTTCTTACAATTTTAAAAAATTCCCAGGACATCTTTATATATGTATTTCTCTTTATTAATTTTTCTTAGAATGTCTGTTATTTAATGATTGCTCTTATTTTTCTGGCTTCTTTTTAAACATACATATAATTCTGATATAAGACCTTCTTTAA